TGACCACATCACCCATCTTGTGCCGATTGGTTTATAAAAATATAGGTCTAGCCCTATGTGCCCTATAGCCTCAAGGCGTGGAAAGGGTCCTTTGCTTACTTTACTTTACTATGAGACAATAAAGCGTGCTGCAGATTTCAACTGGAATGTTTTGCGAGTGTGCTCAATATGGCTCGTTTTCTGAACTGCAGATTCAGAACTGTAGATTCTTCTTCTTCTTCTTCTTCAGTTCCTCTTTTACCCCTGTGGGTGTCGAGGGAGATATAAGGTTCTGTTTCTAGCTCTTCTGGCTGCCTCGACCATAGGCACATCGTGCTGTTGTAGAGTTTCTCTAATTTTATCCTTCCATCTTGTTCTTGGTCTACCCCGTGCTCTACGTCCTTCTTCTCTTTCCATGTATGCTTTGTATGGTATGGTGTCACAAGGCATTCTCTCTAAGTGGGCAAACCATTTCACTTGCTGTCTTTGTATGTAATCCAGAATTGGTTCTGTGCCGACTTGTTCTCTTATGATCTCATTCCTGATCTTATCTCTTATGGTCACTCCTACAGCCCTTCTCAGACATCTCATTTCCGTGGTTACAAATTTTCTTTTATGGTTTGTTGTGAGTGACCATGTCTGGCACTGGTAGCAGAGCGTTTGAATAAATATGCTTTGAATAAGATGTCTCTTTGTGCTGATTGGAATTGTCCTCTGCTCTAAGAGGGGTGCTAGCTGTCCCAATACTTGGTTTGCTTTACTGCATCTAATGTCAATTTCTCTATCCAATTTCCCATCTTCGGTAAATGTAGTTCCCATATATTTAAACTCAGATGCCTGTTTAATGTCTGTGTATTCTATTGCTATGTTTAGATCTGTCTTCTTTTTTCCGATTGACATTACTTCTGTCTTTTCAGTGTTTATTCTCATATTATTTGTTTTACATTCTTCATTCATGGATGTTAGATGTTGTTGCAATTTCATGGCTGTATCTGATATCAAGGCCTGGTAATCTGCAAAGATTAATTCGTTGATCTTACTACGATCTTCATTCATGGGCTTGGCATTCTTGCATATACTGTCGATGTAGGGTGATAAACAGCAGTGGTGATAAGACACACCCCTGTCTTACTCCAGATGTCACTGTGAAAGGATAAGATGTTCCCTGATTTATTCTAACTACACTTCTACAATACCTGTATAAACTTTTGCACACTTCGATGAGGTGTTCGCTTACTCCATATCTTGCCATTATTTTCCATAGTAATTGTCTCTCTACTCTGTCAAATGCCTTCTCCTGGTCTACGAATGCCACAAATAAGTTCTTATTGTATTCAATGTTTTTTTCTATTAACTGTTTGAGTGTGAAGATTGCATCTGTGCAGCTTCTATTTCTCCTAAATCCCATCTGTTCTTCTGCCAGCTGTGGTTCTATCACTGGTCTCAGTCTTGTTTCTATTATCTTGGCATATATTTTGCCAACATGGCTTAAAAGAGAGATGCCTCGATATTGACCGCATTCTCGTTTGCTTCCTTTGTTCTTCCACAATGGTATAACTATTGCATGTTGCCAATCAATAGGGGCCGTTTGTTGTACCCACGCTGCAATGAATATTATGTGAAGCCATCTGATGCTGCTTTCACCTGCTGCTTGAATTATTTCTGTTGGTAATCTATCAGCTCCAATAGTTAATTCACTGAATGTATTATACCGTTTCTTTATATCTGATTGACATGATTTTACAGAAGAAATTCTTGGACAGCCGAAAAAGAGCAACCTATCTGTGATGAATGAGACAATGGCTCTAAGACAATTGTCCCAGACAAGGAAAAGAGACAGTCATCTTATTTTTTTTTCTTTTATGGCATGGATGGGAGTCAACGCCGGGGCTGATACATGGTGGTGAAGATGACAGATGAGGTATGATCACCTACTCCATTCGGCTAGACAATTGAAGATGATGATAATTGTAGAACTCGTTAAAGGTTTATTAATTTAAGTCTACAGCGTATTCTGGTTCTAACGAACATTGGAATGAGGTTCTTAATCATCATCTTATAATCAGCATTTTTAAAATGCTGATAAAACCATTTTTTTAATACAGCCCCAAAAATCCACTTTTAAAAGTATCATTTTTATTGCTTTAATTTTTTAATATCTTCTAGAATATCCTTTAAAAAAGTGATTTTTGTGTGTATTTATGTTTTTGTTTTCCTTTTTATTGAACTTTTCGGTTTGTTAATAACGTCAGACCCTGTGTTGTACATATGCTTACAAAGTCCTTTAATCCGCATCACCCATTCTGCCATTTGTGATTATGATGCTGAAAAGCTAGACTGTCATACTCACTCATTTGACTTCGTTTCATTTAGGCTGATTTGTTGTATTTCTTCAGGTTTACTGTGTTTGAATCCCTTTCATTCCAAGTAAACAACTTGTTTACACTTAAAAATCAGTTTATTGTCTACTCGCTAGCCCCGTTTGTTTCCCCCGTCACATTTACCACCTGAAATTGACTCAAAAAGCCACCTTTTTTAAATGTCAGTCCAACAAACGCAAACTTCGGAAATCACTTTCAAAAAGTATAAAACATTTAGTTTTGGGAACCCTACTGTTTCAACGAGTTATACATTCTATGAATGGATAGTGGTAGTTGAAGTAAAGACTTCATGTCTGTTTCACATATAACCCTGAATATTATAAGTCAACAGTACAATTAATATTTACAGAAAGTTCATGGTATCCAATTTAGAAAGACCAGTAACAAACGTGTAATTAAGTAAAAATGGTGGTGAATATTTATGTGAATATAAAGTCACTCGATGAGCATGCTAGAGAAGATCCAATCGGGGATCATGGAAACAGCGGATTTATCTAATACAGCAGGCAGCGTTCGCAAAATTAGCTTCGCCCTGGCTGACAGCGTGACTATCACGAATGGGCCATCTATGTATAGCAGAGACACAATAAATACCATTCTTCTTCTTCTTCTTCTTTATATCGAGGGTGGCGAGGGATATATACGAATCTGCTTCATGCTCTTTTGACTGACCCGACCATAGACACATCGTAGTGCTGTAGAGTTTTCTGATGTTATTTTCTCATCCTGTTCTTGGTCTACCTCTTGCTCTACCTAACTCTCTTCTTGTATGGTAAAGCATCAGAAGGCATTCTATACAAGTGGGCAAACCATTTGACTTGCTATCTTTGTATGTAATTTAGAATTGGTTCCTTGCCGTCTTTATCTCGTTTGACCTTGTTCGTGATTGTACCTCTCCAGGTAAATTCCATTAAAAAGAGTACACCTTGTGAGGCTTTGGATTTCCTGGAATGTGACTCTTCACTGCAGAATACTGCATACCCTTGGTGTTTCAGCTGACGCAGCGAGACAGGAAAACCTGATTGAGCCACCCATCATTACACCAGAACAGAATGGGACATGTTAGCCTACAAACACATGGAGACACACACAGGAGGAGATAGGAGCACATGTGGTCATGTCTAATGAGCGATGACGTTGATTTTTAACGAGCAACGAATGAACAAATGAACATTTAATTACAGCTTACTTCGGGCAAAGCTCCACAAAAAAGGAGTAAAACATTATTTGATACCACGATGTAGGACATAGCAGATTTGAGTATGAGGGTAAGGGACCTCATATTGATCTAGTGCAGTCGCCACGAACTGTGCAGTTTATATGTATGCTTGGCCCCGACGGAAACACAAATAAAATACCCATCACATTATCGAGAACTCAAATTCCGGTATTTCTCGCCAGAGCTCAGTGTCCTAACATTCATGCAGTCGCTGGTAAAAAGAAGGAAACTGTAACTATTTCCATCTGATAGACTAGTCGGGGGAATGCTTCCTTTAGATCACGATGGTATAAAATTAATTTTCCACTTAGAAATGTTGTCGCCCGTTGTTGATTCAGAGAGACTGACTAAAAATGATTGCAAGTTCAATTGCATAATAAAACTTGAATGATTCCTGAACGTTTTATTTATAGCTCTTTAAAAAAAAAATAGTAATTACAAATACAAGATTATATGACTTGAATCGTACTTAACAATTTTATAGCTGTTGATGGTTAGAGGCAATGTTGGCTTACACTTCCAGACTGTCTGTTATGTATGGCTGTTTACTGTCACATTTGTCCTCTTACAAGCTCTTCCGTACTCATTATCTATTCTTTAAAATGCACCGTAAGTTGATCTATCATCCACTAAATGGCTATATTATAAACGCAGTGGCAAATACTTTGCACATTCAATAATCCTGCCCTAGTCGTTTCTCCTCTTCTTCTTTCTGCCCTTTGACCCTCTAATTCAAATTCAAATTCTCTTTCGTTGACCACTTTCAGCTAGGTCCGCTCACATTTTTGCTCACTTTCCTTTCAGCTATATTTGTGGTGACTTTTTCTGGTCTCGATCTCATTTGGTTTTGGATTGTGTTCATTAAATAACGAACGTCAGACCGTCCTATCTGATGCTAGTCATATCCCAGAGAAATTAATTCACTCTTTCGTAAGGATGAACGAACGCACTGGTAAAGTCAGAAACAGGATTCTCGAAAACCGATGTCTGACTGTAAGGATGATCACAGACGAAAATGTTATTGTATTTGATAAACATATTCTTCCAGACGTATGCCATCAATTCGACTGATTCCAGAATAGTGTTTGAAACATAATTGAATGTTCGCTCCTTCCTTCAAATTACATACGCAACCAAGTAACTCTCACTAGTTAAACAAAGTGATGGGATATTTGTCGTCTGCTGACCAGAAGCGTTGCAATTTGGAAAAATCAAATACGAAACATTATAAGTGGCAAATGTCAGTTTTACCCTGCTCTAATTGTTAATTCAGTCTACCTTCTCCAAGTTGTTAGTTTTGCATTCTCTGTGATAGTTATCACTTCAATCGTTTGTTTCTCTAGTGTTTTACATTAGTGACTACTGAGTTATGAAGAGCTGATTTTCTACGAACGCCACTTAAAGACCATCCACGTATTTTGCTAGTAATAATCACATTTTTTCGGATGATTCATTTTAGATCCTGGCTTACAATGAAATGCGTCTGAGAATTCTTGCATTTGTCCTAATGCCATATTTACTTGTATATCCTCTTCAACCCTTCCCCATGATGCGTAGAGATAGGCACTCTTCGCATCCCTGGCATAGCAAAATGTCTGCGCATGTGCAACGTAAATCATCTGTTCATTGGTCAGCCCAACTCCCGGAAGCATTTTCTCTACAATTCCCTTAGATTTGAGCCAATCAGCATAGCCGATTTGAGCTAATCGAATGCCATTGGTCCAGGAGATTGCAATGGGTGTGTAGTATTTTGCTTTGATTCGAATAGGTTTGGTAACGCCATTGGGGAATAGATAATCCCTGCTTACATTTGTATACACATCAAGCACGCATTCCTTTATGGTTTTATACGCTTCTAAAGAAGAATTACTCCACCAGGTCTCAGGAGCCATGTAGTGGCCGTTCTTGTCGTAAGATTTGCCCCATTCATCGACGATATGGTGTAGAAATCGTCCCAATATTGAGCCCAGAGATCCAAACGTCGTGTGGTGAGGCTGACTTCTGTGATAGATAGGGAGCTGGAGTATACCTGGGGATAAAGTAGTATCTTATTTATCTGGTGTCCCATGTTGATTCTATGGCGCCTTTGTGGGGATAAACAAGAATAGATCGTTTGCCTTCCCAACACGATTGTCGTAGGTGGGGACTAATTGGGGGGGGGGGGGGGGGGCAAAGAAGGGGTGGTGTGGGGGGAAATTTGGGGGGTTATTCAACGAAGTCGGAGTGCATCTGCCTGAGAGGAAAGAAATCAATAGTTCTACTATTTGGCTAGATCTGTAAAATTGATATGCCCGCACACTCAGGATTTGGTAAAAAGACAAAAGCTGCAAGCGAAAAAACAACAGCCACAACAACAGAACTTTCCATTGGAGTTCACTGCCATTGAACGCAAGGACGACTACTCTAGATATAGGTGCATTATTATAATAATTAAAGTATGGTATGGTTGCTTTGGCATCACTGTGATCAATGGGAATTCTTAACACAACATCACTATATCACAGGCTGCATAAAAGCCAGCCTTTCTGCTTTATAAACTTTACTACCCAGACTTCCTCTTTTGATGCTTGTCAGTTTTCCTGCTGCTCGGTTCCTGCCTCTCCACTTCGGAATCATGTTCTTTTTTAAGCTTATGAAACGTTCAACATGGTTAACACTTTTCGGTTTCTCTGTTTGCGAGCCTTCCCTCCCCCCTATTTTTTTCCCATGATTAGATGGTCTAAAACAGTGACTCTCAACCTTCTTAATGCCGCGACCCTTTAGTACAGTTTTCCATGTTGTTGCGACCCTAAACCTGCAATTATTTTCGTTACTTCTTCATAACTTCAATGAATATGTGTTTACCGATCATCTTGTCGCTCGACCCAAAAAAAAAAAAAAGGGACGCCACCCCCAGGTTGAGAACTGCTGGTCCAGAATATCAAATATATATATATCTCAAATTATATATATCTATTGTCTGCCCAACTGGCTGTAAATACTATAGCCACCAACACGAGGACAGCCATCACTGCCACTGTCACTACCAACGCACCTACGCCGTCATTATTACCATCACCAACAGCACCACCACCGTTTCTAATACCACAACCAACACTATTACCACATCATAACACCATCAACACTAACACCATCATCCCTCCCATCACCATCACCACACCTACAACATTACCATAAGCTAGACCACCACTACCAACACAGCCATTACAGCCACCACCGAAACCATCACTTCTATCACCAAACGCACAGCCACAACCACCACCAACACCATCAAAGCCAACACCACTACCAACACCACTACCACCGCCATTATTACAAGCACCACAAACACCACAAAACCACAACAACCACCAATAAAACCCCCATACAATCATCACTACCACATCTATAACTACAAATACCACCACCATCACCAACAGCGTCATCCCTACCACTACCAATACAATATATCTGCTGTACTACTGCTGTCATTGTTTCAACCGCCAGTAATTCCACAACAACAGTAACTATTTCTACTGCTGCTGTTGATGTTGCCGCTGCTAAGTAAATATCCCTTTTTACGCCTTAGGCACATCGGGCATATGGGAAAAAGCCTCAATATTTTTTACAGACCAATTCGCACTGGGTGGGAAATGTGGTCAGCATCACACCGGCCGTCTTTATCTCCCCAGGACATACATCCTGGTACCCATTTTAGGCTGGGTGGACCTGCGACACCCCAGACCGTGATAAAAATCTGCGCAGCCAGCAGAATGTTTCGATTGCGGTACGTTGGAATTACGAGTCAGACTCACAACGCTGTAGCTGTTGTTGCTACTACCATTGCTACGCAATTTCTACTAAGATTCCTACCACTACTACGTTTCTACCAAATACAACATCACTGTTACTATACCTGCTGGAGCAATGACCTCATTCCAGTACCAGAAGACTCCAATAACAGTTGAGAAGACAGGAAAGACCCACTCCTCTCTGTTCTCTCCATTGACCAGCCAGTCGTTCCACTGCGCCTGCTCAAATTTGTTTGTACTGAGCAAGTTACCGAAGTAGTCCGACACATTGACAGTCAGTAAGTTGTACACGTCATCAACCTAAGTGATAAATCAAGCGGACACATATGTAGTAAACTCCATAAACATGTCTCAGATAATCACAACATGTAGTCTGCGCTCTGAATTGTTAGGAAGCATTTTTAAGGCGCGATTGACCAAAAACATCTGGTCTGCGCACTCAGACATGCAAGAGTAAAAATTAGTGCAGGAGCCACCCAGCTAACAAGTAATGCATCAATGCAAACTGAAAGAAGAGTGGAGGGGTGGGGGGGGGGGCGGGTGTGACATCATCATCAGCTGTTCGGATTAGGCTAGTGGAAAATGGTGAATCTCGGATGCTGACACGATTGTAAGACCTGAGATAAATCTTGTTGAAACTCGCATATCTTTGAGACCAAGACAGGAGACACCAACCAACTTCACATGTAGGCAACAGTCAGTAGAAGATACTTGGAGTGGTTGCTGGATAGAAGGACTGAGCACGTATGTGAATGCATACTTGGAGTGGTTGCTGGATAGAAGGACTGAGCACGTATGTGAATGCCGAATTTGCAGTGACTTCGATTGTGATAACATAACAATACAGCAAGAGTGATTATAGTGAGAGAAAAGAAGATGCAACTACACTAATCAGCCTTAATTAGTTTTAGCCCACCGGCAGCATCGTTCTTGCTGGGTTTTTTTGCACACCGTCATGGAGGATCCTGCGCCTCCACAGCCTGCGATCTCAGCATCTCATACGCTGACACGCCTTCATGCCATGAAAACGATGTCCAGAATTTTCTCCATTGTCTGCCTCCACCTTTCTTTTCATAAATCTCTAATGTGGCCATATAATGTGCCAGTGTAACTTGTCTCATAGCACGGGTAATATTCTCGGGTAAGTGATACGGCAGGTGAGATCATACTAAAACAAATATAGATGCCACTAATCTAGGTGGTAATCCAGAATGAGTGATCACAGTGAAGAATTTAAAGATTAGGCACCTTACGTAAGTCATACGAAAAGAGGGAGCGTACTGAAACATTTATATATGCGACTAATCTAAGTAGTGATCCAGAGAGAGTGATGACAGTGAAGCGTTTAAAGATTACCTACCTTACGTAGGTCATACGATAAGATGGATCATACTGAAACAATTATAGATGCGACTAATCTAGGTAGTGATCCAGAGAGTGTGATTACAGTGAAGCGTTTAAAGATTACCTATCTTACGTTGGTCATACGATAAGATGGATCATACTGAAACAATTATAGATCAATTTCTTTAAGTATTGATACAGACATAATGTTAACAGCGAAACAACATAAATGTAACTACATAAAAAAAAGCACAATTTTCGGATAGCTAGTCTCTGGCAAGAGGAATAGTGGCTTAACACCGTATACGATGTTCTAAGGCAGCTGGGATTGCGAGGACAAGTGCGAGCAAGGACGCAGAAGCAAATGAGCGAGATGGCTGAGAAAGTCTCGTGCTGGTCATGGAGTAGCTGAAACGAGATGGAAGATAGATCTCGGTAAGCTGACTCTTGATGATTTCTTTTTCCCGATCAATATTAGTCCAATCCCTTTTGTTATATCAAGGGTATGTCCTATAAGTATTATCCTTCTGATCAATGTTCATCCAATGAACAAACCGTCCAACTGTCAGTCTGACTCGTGCAAGCTGACTGGCCTTTCTGCCAGGTTCGACTGGTCAACTCATTATGGAAATGTCCAAGTACCCGATGCCGATGGTTAAGCGGAAGTCAGCAGAGTAGAATCGCCTGCAGCAGGGCTGAGAGGGAAGACCCCCGACCTGACACACAAGTCCAGTAGCTGGCTTCACTCAGGTTTGTGCTGACGCAAAACTGTGAACGGTTTATATAGGGTTAAATGGTTGCTTCTGGTTTCATACTGAGCTTTTGACGAGTCAGCGAGGTTGTTGACTCCTAACCAGCTTGGGATTAGTTCGACGTTAGTCTACCCAAATAGAGTAGGTCACTTTTCATTCACAAGTTTGTTGGGCTGATCGACTTTCCTGAAAGTTACCGGTGTGTCTGTTGTTTGGTTTCTGCAATGTCTTGCATTTACGTTTTCATTCCGAGAAAGAGAATGCCTGTGACATAGGTTGCAGCACTCTCTAGAAGGGATTGGGGGGGGGGGGGTTTACCCAATTTCTCCATGTTTTTGGGGTGTTAAAAGAGCTGGCGTGTTGAAATATACAACCCGCGATATCAACGGCATTGCGGAACACCAACGAAACCGTGTGCCAAGGACACGGGGTTCAAGAACTACTAATCACAAGTGAGGTAGTGTGTATATGGGCGAGGTCTGGGGAGACAAACGTCGAACTAACCCCAGCTTGGTGCCTTACAGTGCATGATGGCTGGTTGGCGCACACTAGTGGCGATAATCATTACCCAGTGTCAGGTTATAACTAACTCTCGATTTGTCGGCTAGTGTACGAGTACAGAGAAGGGAAGTCTGAGGCCCCGGGGTCATGACCTGGGTCGGGCAACGCCTGGTAAATGTTTAGGGAATAAAAGAGTTGAAAGATTAGCTGAAGGGTGACCTCTACTAATAATCGGTTGACTTCTGCTGTGTGCCATTTCCCCCGCTCCTCTTCCCTCTCCTCCTCCGAAGTTTCTACACATTTTATATTAATGGCAAGATAGGTAGACCACGTGACGGTGATGTGAAAGCAACGGGTAGTACACTGCAAAATATACGTGGACTTGGCTTGAGTTTGTACAGAGCCTATGCTCCATTGAGGAAGAAATGACAGCAGCAGAAGCAGCACAAAGCAACTTGATGAACATACTCACCGCTGCTCTGTTAGCCATCCAGTCTGGGTAGCCCATCTTGAAGGTCACATGGTCCAGTTTCTCTTTGGCGTACTGCTTAGTCTCCTGGTCCATCCAGGGCGTCTTGTCCAGTTGTGTCTGCAGGGCCAGTTTGATGTTGTCTGTGATGTCTGACACCTGGTATGGGATGGATGGTCATCATTTTATGTATCGATTAAAATAGTCATCATCGTCAACAGTTTCAACCTCTGCTGTTAAGCGTTGTGGGGAGGAACAGTTTGTGATCCATCGCTTGATGGGCCGCAATGGCTATTATTATTCCGTGTCGATGTAGAAGCTCTTTAATGTCATCAATCCATGTTCTGACAGGGCGCCCTCTTTGTTTAACTTCAGATATGTTCATGTGTAGCGGCTAGGCTGATAGCTGTTCTGACTGCATTCTTACTGGATGACCAAACCATTTGATCTTCTGTGTCTCAATGAAGTAGCTGAATGTTTTTTTTCCCTACAGTCTGTCTGATAATATCATTTCTCACTTTGTCTCGGATAGTTAAGGTGACGACTTTTCTCAGTCATCTCATTTCACAGGTGTCAATTTTACGTAGGTTAGCCTTTAATAATGTCCAAGTCTTGGCACTGGGTAGCGCAGTGTTGGTATGAATATGCTGATTATAATCTGTTTCTTAGCGCTCATACTTATGTTTGAATGTCTTAATAACGGTGTAAATTGTTGTGTAAGCACACTGGCCCGTTGGCATCTAGTGTCTATTTCCCAATTGTATTCTCCCTCTTCCGAGAATATAGTTGATTACATAAAATATTAAACTAATATATGGGTTCTTTTTCTTTTTCTTTTACGAAGCGTTCGTCGGTTGCAAACTCTGGTGGAAATTTCAGCTGTTTGTCCACTCCTGGGCGTGATCCAGAACTTGTGTTGGTGCTTTATTATTATCCTACCCAAACAGGGGAAATCCACAGGTCACAGGACAGCCTAATATTTCAGGGGATGGTATGCATGCAGTCGTGGGAGCTGGGCTGCATGCAGTCGTGGGACCTAGGATGCACTCTCTCGTGGGACGTAGGTGGATTGGGGTTAGGGCCAGTTCTAGATGTATTGGGGTCGTTAAAATCATCAGAAAGCCGGGAAACTCAGTCTTACCACCTTGTAACATGTTGGACTTTCCTGTGACGTCATCTGGGGGTAGGATATGAATAAAGTACCCTAGTGTTTTACGTGCAAAGATCTAGCCTATTTGTATATAGACTGTAAGTTCCTTGCCTCTCAAGAACATGCACTCCAACTTTTAAGGAAACCCCCTTAATGAGACGCCTCTGCGACATTCATGTCAGAGGCGCAGTTTGTCAATTCTCTCTTCACCAAAAGTGACCCATGAATCTTCTGGGGAGATATCGGGACTGAGAATACGCTTATTTGTTTGTTAGATGTCTGTCTGTCTTTCGGCTGTCTGTCTAATTTGCGCTACGCTCTACATAAGTATATGTTTCTGTGACTTATTGTTTTTATTTATAAATTTATTTATTTATATTTGTTTTACTAATTAATATGCATACATCCATACCTGTCTGTATACCTGCATTCCTACCTGTCAGTCTTTCGTTTTGTCTGTCTACATGTTTATCTAATGTTATTCTATGTTTATGTTTGTGAATCTTTCTATCTTACCTGCTATAAGTAATTAGTATTCCGTTGATAAATGCTTTGGTCAAAACCTATGGCTGTATATATGCGGGTGTGTTACATTTCCTGTGTTGAACTTTCTAGCTGCATTTTACGCTGTATTTTACATTTATCTATGTATGTTTGTCATTGTGTATGTCCGTCCGTCTGTCTATCTGTATTTTGTACCCAGCTTACATACAGACTTTCCGGTAGATCAAGGCGTGATACTGACCATATCACCCATCTTGTGCCGATTGGTCTATAACAATAAAGGTCCAGACATATATGCCCTATATGCCCTATACGCCTAAAAGCGTGGAAAAGAGACCTTCACCACTTTTACTTTACACAACATACAGACTGGTTGACATGCGTGTCTTTGGATATTTACCGTTTGTTTACTTTCGTCTGCAAAATGTTCATTCACATACAATGAACTAAGGCCATCAGCGTAATAGTACGTGGTCTGTGAGAAGCAGTATCGATACAGCCCTAAAAATGCTTGTCTTTTATGAAGATCAGCATAGAGCTCTCTGTTTGCGTGGATATATTCCCATGAAAGATCCTAGGAAAAAATAAAGTATCTGCACAGATAAACAGTCGATATTTAATGTATACTTACATTTTCACAATGATTAAAATATTCGTCTTTTGAGCTTAATAGCAATGCCGGTATGTGAATGCTTGTTATCACCCCTGACACTTTCCATTGACAACGAAAATGCATCACATTACTGTTTATTATTATTTTAACTGTTTATTATAAAAACAATACTCGAGTTCAGAATCCAACATAGGCAAAACAACGCTCGCTGCATGATGACCCATATTCAGACAGAAACTGAAATGTGTGAAAGCTACCAGTTGCTAGTACTTCAATGTTAGTAGCGGACGCATTCTCTCAACAGCAAAGTGATGAGAAAAATATCACGTGATACCATATCCAGTGTAATCATTGCTTGCTAAGGTTTACATGAGCGAGCATGCGCTGCTTGGCAGCGCACGTAATTGTGATGTGTGGGTAGAGCAGTTTTTAGAATCATCATGCTTGGGGTGATGTTCTGGTTTTGAACCTGCATATGATACAAATTTAAAAAATGACATTGGCATACACTAGAGGGGATGAAAGCAACACAGTACAAACACACATACACACACACTCACACACACAGAAAGCGACGACACTTAAAGCGATTTGGGCGCCAGAGAGAGAGAGAGAGATAGATAGATAGAGAGAGAGAGAGAGAGAGAGAGAGAGAGAGAGAGAGAGAGAGAGAGAGAAAGGTGGATGCTCTATGTATAGTAAGGACCTAATAATGTAGGAGAAACAATAATAAATATTATTATTATAATATGCGGAGTGGCCAAACAATAGAGTACAGGGGTATATCGGATCACTAACTTATTTCTAGGAGTCTTCGTGGTCTCGAGGTATAGTGTCCGCCTCAAGTGCTAGAGGGCCTGAGTTTAGGTCCCGGTGAAGGTTGGGATTTTTTCTGTTCAGGTGAACTTCTAGTCATTGCCCATGGACTCTGGATAGTGACGCGCGTGTGTATTTTTGCGCACGTAAAACATCCCTTGGCAGTTGGAAATCGAAAAGAGTACGAACGAACGAACGAACGAACAAACTTTATTTTTAAAGGGTTAAGAATTGGGCACGCAGGCCCGTCTAACATTCTGCCCTTCGAGGTTTCCCTCCATTCTTACATCATTTCATTCACACATCAATTAATATTAAAAGAGCAATAGCATCAAAATAATCAATACAAGCACTGGAATGTGCACATTTCTAACTACAGTAAAACGTATTAGTTGTAACAAACCTAAGAAAGATGAGCGCTATTTTTCACATATGTTTTATCTTCTATGGGGGCATATAATCGGTGCTCAGATAATATTCGAACAGTTTCCGATTGTATGTATATGGACTAGTGGTACTTTTGATTTGCTGTGGTAGATAGTTCCACAATTGAGCTGCGGAATATGACAGACTTGTTTTATAAAGGTCTATCCTAGGTTTAGGGATGTGTAATATGTTTAGACGCTTACTATGGCGTTCATTATATTTGAACAACGGCCATAAGTAACATGGAGCCTTTTGAGATAATATTCTTTAAGTATATTTTGCCTTATTGAAAAGTAAACGTTCACGAAGCGGTAGTAGTCTAAGACCTTTATATGTTTCGGAGCTCAGTGTTCCATGATTGTTACTAATTAAGCGAATGGCGCGCTTTTGCAGTGATGTGAGTCGCTTGATAACAGAGCTGGAACAGCCATCCCATATTGTAGAGCAATAGTCTACATGTGTCTGGATGTGAGAAATATAGAATATCTTTCTTGTGCTAAATGGAGTAGCTAAATGGAGATGCCCGGGCACAATTTTGAATTAAAAATCTACAGAAAATATTTCAGGATTCTCGCTATGAAACCCGAGAACTGCGCTGAGCTACTTCAGTCTCAAACTTGAGTAAGAAGTAGAACGGAGCACTTATGGGTTACTACCCGTGTGCCATAAATTTGATCCATTGTTCAAACCACAAACTAACTTATTTCTTTCTCTTACTTCGTTCGCCACCCTAAACAATATTTTTTCAAAGAAATCAGTCCTAATCCAATTAATCTGTTTGCCCGCCTTACCTCGCCACCCTAAACAATATTTTTTCAAAGAAATCAGTCCTAATCCAATTAATCGGTTTGCCCGCCTTACCTCACCATCCTAAACAATATTTTTTCAAAGAAATCAGTCCTAATCCAATTAATTGGTTTGCCCGCCTTACCTCGCCATCCTAAACAATTTTGTTCCAAAGGAATCAGTTTCGATCAATTAATTCGTTCGCCCGCCCCAGATTTTTTTTTTTTTTTTTTAAATCCTGAAAACTAGGGAATTTATGGAGGTCAAAAGTAATTAAAACTAACACTAAAACTAAAATTGGACATGAAAAGAGCTTCATGCAATAGCGATGTGAGCTGAGGGCCAGTGCTCCATTTGGAGCTAGAAAGGCAAAATAAGAAGCAATCCTGGAAAGGAGGTTCGACTACTGGCTCGGTGGCTTTAGTTTTCACAAGATAAATTTTATTCCCATATCCTAATATCCCCATATGATAATATCCCCATATCCTAATATCCCCATATCCTAATATCCCCATATCCTAATATCCCCATATCATAATATCCCCATATCATATTATTCCCATATCATATTATCCCCATATCCTAATATCCCCATATCATAATATCCCCATATCCTAATATCCCCATATCCTAATATCCCCATATCCTAATATCCCCACATCCTAATATCAACATATCATAATATCCCCATATCCTTATATCCCCATATCATAATATCCCCATATCATAATATCCCCATATCCTAATATCAACATATCATAATATCCCCATATCCTTATATCCTCATATCATACTATCCCCATATTATAATATCCCCATATCATAATATTCCCACATCCTAATATCCCCATATCATAATATTCCCATATCATATTATTCCGATATCATAATATCCCCATATCAGAATATTCCCATATCATAATATCCCCATATCATAATATCCCCATATCCTAATATCCCCATATCATAATATCCCCATATCATAATATTCCCATAACATAATATCCTAATATCCCCATATTCTAATATCCCCATATCATAATATCCCAATATCCCCATATCATAATATCCTTGTATCCTAATATCCCCGTATCATAATATCCCCATATCCTAATATCCCCATATCATAATATCCTCATATCCTAATATTCCCATATCATAATATCCCCATATCTTAATATCCCCATATCATAATATCCTCATATCCTAATATCCTCATATCCTAATATTCCCATATCATAATATCCTCATATCCTAATATTCCCATATCATAATATCCTCATATCCTAATATCCCCATATCATAATATCCTCATATCCTAATATCCCCATATCCTAATACCCCCATATCCTAATATCCTCACATCCTAATATCCCCATATCATGATATCCTAATATCCTAATATCGCCATTTCCTAATATCATAATTTCCTTTTATCCGATTATCCTGAATCCTAGCATATTCATATCATATTGTCCTAGTATATTAATATCTAATATCCTAATATCCCCATATTCTAATATCCAAATATCCTCAAATCTTCAAATCCTAAAAAAAAATTATATACTCATCTCATCATTTCCTAATATCCTCATATTCTCATATCCTCATATCCTTATATCATTATATCCCTATATCCTTATATTCTATTATCCACACGTAAACCGAAGAAGTCACAGTGGCAGTGGCGAAGCGTGATCAGTTCGCATGTAAGCGGAGTGAGCTACAATTTAAATAAAGTCAGTATCGAGTGTTATTTTCTTTATTGTTAATTCACTGTTGACTCAGTGTGATTGTAGATCATCATAATAACAGAGTAGAAGGAAAATAGGTACAAGGAAATGTCGTTGGAGGTAAAAGCCTCTGGTGTGATGTAATTAGAGACTGAATAGGGAATATTCTTTAAAATTGTTCTAGTACGATATCTCTTATTGGCCAGTGACATTAAAAATGCCTCTAATTTTACTTACCTCTTGAAAATCGCTTTATACACACATCGGAAACATTGGCGCCTAGTAAACTCAACTGCCAACACAGCTACTTCTAAATCCTAGGGGGCTGTACACAGTTTCATCTTATCCTCGAGTGACGGCCCGTGGCATATCCCCGGATATTTATTTTTCCGGCCCCACGTGCATCGCCTGACTATTGTCTTGACATCTACCTGGCTGTCACGAGATACAAAGATAACTGATATTGTGTATTTGTGTAGTATTGTCTATTCTATGTATGTGCTGTAGAATGCTCCATAGTCGCAAAGTTTTGTATGTGTTTGTTATATTGTAAAGCTCGCTGATATACCTTTCGTTCGGTTTCTTTTCTTTTTCTGATATTTTACTTACCTCAGCGTACATCTCAACGACCCGCCAGATAAGGTAATTGTGAAGCATCCGATTCCGATCAGACTCTGGCAGCGAGGCAAGAATGGTGGTCATGTTCTGGAAATACTCTCGTCGCTGGACAACGATCCTGGTGTTCGGTGTTATCACGGCCTGGTTGAAGAGATAGGACAACTGCTCCACCCAGTTGATGATGCTCCCTGTTTCCGACTGAAAGTCTGCCAACGTTACCTGGGAAATGCGTAAAGTGTTATTTGACTTTATGCTAGTATTGATGCATGATAAGTGGAATGAGTCGAAGCGTGACTTGGAAATAACGTTGTTTATATGCCGACGTCACTCGTCATACACTTTGACACACCGCAAATCTGCTCTCGCCACGCCTCACTCTCTGAATGTTTACTGCGACAAAACTTGCACTGCTCTAACATCTAGGGTTGATAACACAAACGCCACTCGGCTTCTTTGTACATACCATCAGTTTATTCAGTCACATATGTTCCACATGTTTCCACAATTATTCAGACTTCTATCGCTCACGACATGTTCAATTACTGGTCACACTCACGACATAGGGACTATCGCTTCTACTAATCAACCGTCTTCTCGGACTTCTGGTGATCAACACTATACTCACAAATAGCGGAAATAAAAACGCGCACTCGTCATCTCTCCCTCTCCGAAGGGACGATGTTTAATTAACCTTGGCATCCGTGCCGACCTAAACCAAGCCGGACCGTAAGCATTCTTAGTTAACAGTTTCTGTCATCAACGAATAGTGTTTGATCGAGTAAAGCGTCGGGGGAAGGCTAATTTGGACTGTACAGAAAACGGATGACTTTGGTTGTAAGACGCAGATGTCGCAACTTAGCTATTAATCACAACACAACGTGCCAATTGCCCCTTAAGAGGAAAAAGAAAACTTAGCACCCAGCGGGAAATCGAACACCGGTCATCCGCGTGAAGAGCGGAATACTTACAACTCTACTACCGAAGACTAAAGACTGTAGGTCAGATATCGCAGCCTAGCTGTAAACCACAACACAAGGTGCCTACCGCCCTCTCAAGGGCGAACGAATATTACGCGTGACATGAACATAGAGCATCACGTCGCCTCTATCGCAGGCTAGCTGTAAACCCCAAAATCGAAGGGTAAAAACAAACCGTCGATATTGCAGCCTAGCTATAAACCACAACGAAACGTGGCAGCCACCCAGTTAGGGGCAAAAAAGAATTATATTACCCAGCGGGGAATCGAACCCCTTTCACCCGTCTAAAAAGCGAAATGCTTACAACTACATACGCTACTAAATACTCAAACATTTAGAAGAAATGAAAGTATATAATATTAATGTGAAGTTCGGTGTTATACAGTCCAAGGTGGCCAATCGACTAAAAACAAATTCGGGCTAGCAACGAAATAATTAATGAAATAATCGTTGCTGGAGCTACGTCGTTCGTGGTTTGTGCAAAACTCATAAATAAAAACACGCGTGGTGTCTAAGGCAACGTTGTGTGAAAATTTGAAAGCGATCGGTAAAGAAATGTCGGAGATTGATCCTAGGGGTAAAGGCATCTATTAGCAGCCCTGCTCAGCAGTCAAAGGCGGCCAATCAACTAAAAACAAATCCGGGCGGGCAACAAAACAAATAATGAATTGACCTTTGCTGGAGCTACTTTTTTGTGGTTTGTGCGATTTTATAACAAAAAAAATCACCCTTTGAGTCTGAGACAACGTTGTGTGAAAACTCGGGGCGGACACCATGCCTTGAGACCATGCAGCCCCATACTGTTAGCAATTTATCTAGTAGAATGAATCGACTGTCAAAAGAGCTGTAATGTCGTAAAACAGTACCCAAAATAGGACACACCATAGCAGAATATGGTGCATTAAACCATAGACGGTGATTACAAAAATAGGAACGGCAAAATCTTCAAAAAAAAAAAAAGACAGTCGTTAAAAACACATCTTTTATTTACCTTATTGATATCATCATCAGCGTCATAGGAGTATCTGGATTTGCTAGCTATAGAGGCTATTCTTTGTTCGACGGTAAAAGTATCATTGACGAATTCGTCCAGATATTCTTCTTGCAATGTGGCGTTCCTCAGGTTTCCCCCTTCGGAGTCTCGGACAAGCAGGAATGCCACCCTGCGTATGAACTTTTTGTAGTCTTTTCTTATCTGTTCAGTGTTTGGATTCAGGTACCTGATTATATATATATATATATATATATATATATATATATATATATATATATATATATATATATATATATATATATATATATATATAACGAATTAGTGAATTTATATACATATTTAAAAATCGAGAATATACATAGGTAAGAAAAGACGAACAGATAATTAAAAAAGCATGCATGGAAAAAGAAATCAACTGATTTAACGAGGACTTCCATGTGAAACCCAAGGACAAACGTTGGTGAGAGAAGTCAAGAGTGCTTGACTGTATTCTGTCTGTGATCCTGAGGTGACTGAGTACGATAGAATTTAATAGAAAGATAGGCTGCAAACCCTATATGATAAATAATAACACTGTAGGACATTGGATTCTCACTAATCCGCCACACACAGTGGATTCATATATATATATATATATATATATATATATATATATATATATATATATATATATATATATATATATATATATTCACACGCACATAGATACTCACTAATCCGATAAAAAAAGTGGATTCATATATATATATATATATATATATATATATATATATATATATATATATATATATATTCACACGCACATAGATACTGACTAATCCGCCACACACAGTGGATTCATATATATATATATATATATATATATATATATATATATATATATATATATATATTCACACGCACATAGATACTCACTAAACCGCCACACACAAACACACACACACACACACACACACATATATATATATATATATATATATATATATATATATATATATATATATATATATACATGGTTAGTCGATGAGCAAATATTTGTGTGAAACAGGCGATGATATAGTTTTATTGACTAATTATGAGAACACTGTGTACAGATTACAAAAGTAATGAAGCTTTCAAAGCAGTTGACCCATGCAAGGATACTGACTGTCTACATCATCAGAAGGAGACAATCCACATTCATCTGTCAGTCATGAGAAGAAAACTAGAGTACATCGTGACACTGAAGTTGGGGGGTGGGGGGCTTGTGGGGGGGGGGAGGGATAAAAGAGGCAGACAGAGACTGAGAGGAAAGATGCTGACAGCCTGACATAGATGAGTATCTGTGTCAGAATCGACTACACATGACACAAGGTTGTGGATAGACATAACTGCTAACGTCACGAAAAATAGGCTATACGAATAAGACTGTTTTTCTCTTTGTAAATACAACGTGATGATGATCTAGAAGGAAATATCATGAAATTAAAATGTCCCTCCACATGGAAAGTATAATGGAAGTAAATTGAACTAAAGATATCCTTTTTACGCCTTTAGGCGCATCAGACATACGGAAAGAGCATCTATATTTTTACAGAACAATCGACACTAGGTGGGTAATGTATTCAGCATTACGCCGGCCGTCTTTACTTCCTCAGGACATACATCCTAGTACCCATTTTAGGCTGGGTCGACCGGTGACGCCCCTTACCATGATAAAAATCCAAGCAGCCAGCAGTGGGTTTCGATCGCGGTACTTTATCATTACGAGTCGGACTCACAACATCTAAGCCACACACACCGCAAATATAATGCAAGGAGGCCCACAAATGCATACGACAGAAATAAACAGTGCTACAATTACTTCAAACAACAACAACAATGAATTAGCTTTTGCAGTGGCGAATGGATGCATATTGTTTCCTGTACTATTTGACATAACCACCGACTGGGTGTTGAAAACATCTTGTGTTTGAAAAACTGACAGTAGGGAATACACAGTCCTAAGAACATGATGTTTCTGATGATATTGCTTTGCTAGGCAAAAACAACAATGACATGCATAGGAAAACAGATGACTGAGCAAATATAGCATCAAGGGCTGGACTACAAATAAGTTATGAAACTGACCAAAAATATTCCAACAAATCAAGCAGATGTAACATTGGAGACGAAAGTAATTACAGTACTTATTTAGTTTGTAATCTTGACACTGAATGAAATACATAGAAAGAACTTAGCACATGCATTGGTAAAACATCAACAGCTTTTAATAGCTTGAATAAAGTATGGAACTCTAAACTGAATAGTTTTAAAACCAAGTTACTCATATTCAATTATAATGTTCGTTTTTTTTCAGTTTTAACATATGCAATTTGGAGAACCAATAAAGACTTGGAACGTAAGTTCAATGCATTCAAAAACAAATGTCTGAAGAATATGATGAAAATAAAACATATATTCAAAAGGGTTGAAGAAATAAGACAAATGTCTGGGCAACCATTTGTATTAGCAGTTATAAGACATAGAATATGGCACTATACTCGAAGCATTCTAAGAAGAAACCAAAGAATCACCAAATATGCATTAAAGTGGCAAATAGAGGTATTAAGCAGGCGAGGACGCCCACAAGAAACTCTAAGATGAACGTTGATGAGAGATGCCAAAGCTACTGTAATGGATTCCGTACATGTTATTGAACTGAACGCACAGGAATAGACTGCGAGTCGTATGTGACAAATAATGGCACAATAGGATAAGGAAGGTTAAAGGGAGCTTCATCTCGTCGACTGTCTCCAGATATGCCTGAACAGTGCAGATGTAACTAGGAGGCAACTGGCGTCAAAAAATGCTCAATAACAAAATATAAAAAAAGACTGGTGTAATGGGGGATATTTTCGACCCAGTTTAGGATGGTTGGGGGGAAGGCCCAAAGCTGATCGAAAACACCGAGATAGTCCAGATACTTGGATTAAACGAGAATCTGGAGATGGGTGACTAACCACTAGTTATCACGGGAACAACGGTGATGCGACCCAAGGTCGCCACGGGAAAAGTAAAGGACCACCACGTGTTGTCACGTGAAAAGAACCCGTGGTATAAGTCAGACTTTACTCTGGTCAAGTTGAGTTTGTGTCGACCTGTTGGAGTGAGAGGACGAGCGTCTGAATGTGAGAATGTCTACGTGAGTGCCTGAGGAGAAAGGAGACCTGCCGACGAAGTGTTGAGCTGAGATCGACCATGCCAGCGTGTGAGATGTCCAAACATCA